ATTATATTTTTTAAAAGGCCTTACCTACTAGAAATATACACTGGAGTACTTATGGATAATATAATATTAGATCTTGAAGAGGGGATAGATATATCAAAAGCCTTAAAATTGTACATACATTTTTAAAAATTCTTATCCCAGGGTATACTTGTTAATTCAAGAGAGGGGAAGGGAGAGGAGACAGGAATGAAATGAGAGAGAAGGGGGGGGGAGAGAAAGAGAGAGAAAGAGAGCGAGCGGAGAGAGAGAGAGAGATGAGAGAAAACACTAATTGGTTGCCTTCCGCACGTGCTTTGACCAGGAATCACACATGTAACCATGTAACCTTTCAATGTATGGGACACATGCCCACCAACTGAACCACATCAGCCAGGGCTGTGCACACATTTTGACTTATAAATTATAATTTCTAGAATGTATTCTAAATGTATAGCTACAAATGTGTATAAAGATTTCACTAGAGGATTGTTTATTCCAAAAATTTTTAGAAGCAAAAAACTGGAAACATCTTGTGTTTAAATAATTTTATTAGTTAAATCAAATAATGCAATACAGCCTTTAAAATTATGTTGAAAATAATTATTGTAAATTGAATAGAAAAATGTTCATATTATTACTAATGAAGAAAATTCACAAACACATAATTCAATATAATCTAATTTTAATTAAGAAAAAATTATTGAGGAAAATATTAAAATGATAAGTGTTTATAGTGACTATCTTTGGGAGGTCAGAATTCAGGTAAATTTTAATTAAAATCCATATTTGTGGTTTATCTTTACCTACAGTAAATATATTATCTTTGCAAAACAATAGCTATTAAAGTAAAAGACAGTTCTTCATAAGGCAATTAATTAAAAAATAATAAAACTGAAGAAAAAAAGATGGAAAAGATTGAGATATTTGAGATATAAAGTAATTTAAAAAAATAAATAACAACTGCACTGTAAGTTGAAATAATTTTTTATCAAGAGCGATATAAGATTCTTCACTCCACAAAAATGATTTCTCACAGAGAGATTTCTGATGGATTAAGTTAGCCCCCTAGGAGAGGAAGTAATATTTCACTGTGCTTGATCTATACGTGAAGTTTGTGTAAAGGGCAGAATATTTTTGAAGGATCTGTAAACTTAATTTCCCTTATTCATAAACTAGATTTCATGTTGGCACCTTGCAGAGCACAGTGGCTCCAGGAAGGGTACAGGCCAAATGCCACGTTGTCAAGGAGGACGCTATGGTCCCCGGGAGAAATGCTGTCCAGGCAGGAAGATGCAGAAAGTGTGCTCCCTCCGAAGAAATGAGAGAGAAAGGAAATAAGACGGGAAGACTGACTTGTTGACATCCTTTCTCTGGGGGTAAGCCTTAGCGCTACAAAGCACATTCGATGATGAAAAGCTGGAAGAGCTTTGGCCCTGCTCTCTGTTAAGAACTCTGAGGAAAGAAATGACTGCAGGACAAGGCCAATAGTGCCCTAGTGTGGTTACCTAGGGACACCAGATTTGTCTCTCTCCTTCCCATGCCCTCCTACTCCCCCCCAGGCAGCCTCAGCCACAGAGTGGTGTATGAAGGCCCCTGACATCAGTCCCTGAGAGATGTCAAGATGCTTGAAATTTCTGGAGGACCAGCTTGCCAGAGGCAGTCTCCTGAGAGACGGTGAAATGCCAAGGGCTCTGGGCTGTGCTGCGGATGTCAGAGCACATTCCTTTTTCCCTCTGCCATTTCTCAGCAGGCTTTTGAAAGAAACAGAGCCAGCTTCCAGGAGGGAGCCAAAGTACCAGTGGGTGTCAAGACAAGTGGGTGTCAAGATAACGAGGAGAGGTTTTGACAAGTTCCACAAGCCTGGGACTTTGTCAGGACCCTGGAAGGAACCTGATTGATTGTGCTTTGGTGGAAAACAGCACAAACCCAAGGACCACGCACTCTATGCAGTGAAGACCAGCCAATGGATAAGCGCCAAGTTAGGGCCCCAAACACCAAATGCCCCAAAGATAATAAAGGTTTTTCTTCTATGTAGGCACCATCTTGGGGAGGAAGGAATAGTTCCTTAGGGAGTGAAATTTAGAATTGACTGAATATTTGCCCAAATGAGACTGACATGAGCATGTCTGAGATATCATTAATTATCAAGTTAATGATTTTCCAAGGCTACCAAAATGGGTGAGACTATGTAAAGATTACATTTAAAGCAATAAATAAAAATGCAGCATTTTCTTTGTACATTTGAGTATTGATCCAATAATTTGGTTTTAGTTTTAGTTAGTTAATTTTAGTTTCAGATAATTAGTTTGAAGTTTGCAAAGAAAAAAAAAGATTCCACCAAGGTTCATGAATATTTGCTAAATAAAGAGTATGTAACTATAAAACAAAGTTATTGCGATAGTGAAATGTTGCTATGAATTTTATGAGAAAGCTATAAATATTTTCTCTCTGTCAATCCCTTTGTCTTCTTTTATTGATAAGAATAATGCAAATACAATGTTTAAAATGTCACAGTATATTTTTTTCCTGCAAATCTTGATTAAATCTGCTCTCAGAATAGCAAGTTAGTGATTTGTATCCAGTGGTGTAGTATAAACATATTTTAGATAAGACATAAAGGCTGCAACTCTCTCCCCCTTTTCCCCTTTATGCATTCCTGGTTTTTTCCCTCTCACTTGAAACATCTAATAAGAAAAAGGTATACGACATACTTGTTCACAGATCTCTTAACAATCTCTCTTAATGATATGGAATACAGAGTTCTTGGCAGTAGTGCTTATATAATGGACTGAGATTTTCTTTTCACATATATATCCCTGACCATTCTCATATACATCACTGACCATTCTCACATACATCACTGACAATTCTCTTAGAAGGAAGACAGGAGGCAAATATTACTTTTATTTCATATATAGAAAAGAAATAACAGGAGTGTGGATTTTAAGTAGAGTTGCTTTTAAACTTGATTCTATAATAGACTTAGAAATGAAACTAAAGAGTGTGTGGTTTACACAGAGAATAGTAGTTTCTATGTTTAAAATCAAAGTTTTATCTCTGTCTTTGTGAATTTTATTTGATAATGCTAGTACAGTTGAGCCATTTTACTTCCTTAGAGTTGAAGTGTTAAACAGTTTACAGGATCATGCTAGTTATTGAAAAGAAATTGGGTACTTGCAAGATATTCCCCTCAAACTTACCCATTTCTGGGAAAAAGTTATTCTTAAAGATATTTAGCAAATTAGAAAATCTCAATATACTTTATTTAAAATATAGCTCTCTTGCTCAGTGTTTTTGGAGATAATGATGTTATGATAAATTAGGTATAAATATTCATGGAATGAGGAAAGTTTTTAAGTAAAAATTAAAATTGAAATTCTTGAGCCTTTGATATGCTGGAAATTACATGGAACTATCCACAAATTATTTGTTACCTCTTTTCAAAGACCACCATTATATGATGATATGTAATTGAATACGTGAAGTTGGATTTTTTTTTCTTCATTATGAATCTAGGTCATATTTGAGAGATGCTTTTTGAACATTACAGACTTTTGACTCTTTGCCCAAGTGAACATTTTTGGAATAACATTAAATATATCTAGCTAGACTTGAATAACACACACACACGAAACTGAGCAAGGAAACCCATTCTCTTGAATTTCTGAAATAATATATGAAATACAGTGATTAAGACTTAGACTCAGATATTTATTAAGACAGGAAAAGTCAGTCTCCATAGATAACATTTTATAATTTTTGAGAAAAGTTGTTCGTAAAACTCTGCTGTCTTTCAAAAAGCTGTTGTAAAAGGATATGCTATGAATAACAGCTGAATTTGGGGAGTTCAGGAAGAACAGATAGAAATGCATTGTGCTGGTAATACATATTCCATAAAGCCCACTCGATCTGTGAGAGGTAATACGTATTTCAGTTTGCACAGTCTTTCATCTAATTCACTCACCAGAGGTTTTCTGAGTATCTTCTGTGTGTCAGGTACCTGCTGAGCGCTGGGCAACACTGACATGGTTTCTGCTCTCATGGAGTTTTAAATCTAGTGGTGCGATTTAATAATAATCAACTACTCAGGTAAACACGTAGTTGCAAGCTGTGAAAGAAAGGTGGTCAAGTGTCTGGGAGCTGGGGTGGGTTTGCAGCCCTTCCTGAAGAAAGGGACTTGGTGGAGCAGCAGTAAATAATCAGCTAAAGAGGGAAGAGGGGTGTGGATGGGCCACTCGGAGGGGCCCTGCCTGAACCAGAGAACTGGAGTGGGCTGGGAAACACTGCCGTCCTCAGATGCTGAGCCCAGAGAGTTGAGCGAGAAGAGCCTGGGGGAATAGGGAGGAGCCTGCGTGCAGGAGTCTTCCAGGACGGGTCCAGTATCTCCATTCTCAGCGTAAGACGTGGTCTACAAATAGGTGATTGCCTGGCTATGTGACTGCGGACGTGTTTCTATGTTTCGGCTTGAACTTTCTGTTTAGCGGGGATTGTTTATTTTATTTTATTTTATTTATTTGAATCATTTAGGTGGGACATACTTTGTCGCATTAATCAGAGGCTGCCCATACCTGTTGGCCTTACACACGTACTCTCGCTGGACCCCTGGGGAAAGGGTGTTTGCAACCTTTCTCGGGAATTAGATTTTGTACTTAGAATAGCACGAAGAAGAGCAGCGGCGGAGCGACTCCGAAGGCCCCCTGCACCCCCGGCGCAAACGGTGCGGCGGAGTCTGCGCGGGGAGGGCGGAGTCTGCGCGGGGAGGGCGGGGCGCCACGCTGCGGCCCAGTGGCTGCGGCCCAGTGCGCATGACCGCTTCGCGTTGCCAAGGCAGCGAAAGCCCCCGCCCCTCCCTCCCGGAAGAGGAGCGGCGGAGCCACCGGCTTCCAGAGGGGGCCGGTCCTTGCTAGCTCTGGCCTGACTAGTCCTCGAGCCATCCTGACCGGGCAGAGCAGGTGAGGAGCCGAGTCTGAGGCAGTGTGATGGCCGTCGCCAGAGGCCGGGGATTCAGAGGAGCAAAGTGAATTGTCCAAACGGACGTCAGGGCTATGGCCGACCTTTCTGAGGAGACCATCGAGTCCTTCCCAGAGGAGGTACTGAGTTCCGGTTCATTCAGCTCCTCTGGAGGACTGCAGCCCGGGCCTGGGGACTCGGGGAGCACACCTGAGAGCGGAAAGCCCGCTTATCAAGACACACAGTCCGAGCTTTCAGAAAAGAGGTTTACTTGGAAAAGAATCAGCTATCTCAAGGGCAGAGAAACCAACTCTGGAGGGTACCAGCCGGACACTCAGCTTCCAACAGAAATCACTCCGGTGTCTGATGAACAGCTGAATGCCCTGCAGTCTTTTTGCACCATTAAGATAAACTTGATCCATCACAGAGCAAATTCTAAGGAGAAAAAGAGCAGCAGACATAAAAAGCTGCCACTTAGACTGGATGCAGAGGTTTCAGAGAGAGATGCCTCACACTGTACTGTCCCCGATGAGCTTTTGAACAGAATCTATTTAAAAAACACGATGGCAACACTAAAAGAGGTGGCAACAGTTAAGCAGCACATTTCTTCTAGATGTCCTGATTGTAACAGAAAAAGGGCAGAACTGGCTCAGTCTGCCTTCCTGAAACGAAAGAAGACTTTACTAGAGTCATTTCTTCTCCAAGACCAAATAGATGAACATCTTCACACTAAAGACTTTCTTACCCTTATTGGAGAGGTACATCGGGGCCTTCCCAGGCTTTCAGATGACCCCAAAATAATCTGGAAAAGACTGAATGAGAAAAGTCAGAAGAGATGCCCAGGGTTTGAAAGGTCAGATTCAGAACAGAAGATATTGCAGAATGGAAAGAGTGCTTGTCATTCACCGTTTGCTCTGCCACTTCTCAAACGGCTTACTCTAACCAAACAGGAGATGCTGTTTAATAATAATAGTGCATGATGTGGAGAGATGTTTCTGTTGTGGATTTGAATAATTATCATAATTTCTGCAGGCGCTTTGGAAACTGACTTAAAACTTTACTTTGCTTCCTTCACAGATTTGAGGACTAAACACTTTCGATCCAGTATGTTTTTCAGATTATAGAGGACAACATTGTAGTTGGAATAGTTATAAAGTTTTTTACAGCAATCCAGGAGAGAGATGCTTTTAGTTTGGACTTGGGTTTTTCCAGTACCTATAAAAGTACAGAAATGTAAGAGATATTAAGGAGGTAATAATTGACAGTCTTGGCGAATAAATGGGTATGAGATTTAATGAAAAGTAAATGTTAAAAAGTGTTGCTAAGTCTCTGACTTGTGTACTTGAATGAATAATAATTTCACTAAATTTTATATAGAAACATTGGAAGAAGACCGTGATTGATGGGAGTGAGGTATATTTAAGATATCCACTTTGAGAGGTTGAGAAACATTTGGTTATTTGTGCTTGCAGTATGGAGAAAAGGTGTAACTCAGAGATTTGAAATAAAGGGCAGGAGCCACAGATCATTGGTTTGTATTTGGAAATTGAAGTCATAAATGCAGTAAGCTCTTCTGGAAGAGGGCAGGGTGAGAAGTGAACAGGAGATATGACTAACTCCTGCGAAATTCAGTAATTAAAGGCTGGATGGAGGAGAATAAGTTAGCAAAGGTTTAGAAGAAATTGCCATAAAAGGATAAAGAAAACCAGGAATGTGTAGTGTCATAGAGAGCAAAGAGAGAGAATAAAGACGGATGGGTTTTCTGCCCTGGCTGGTTAGAGGTTGGCCCACAGACCAATGAATCGAGGGTGTGATTCCAGTCAAGGGAACTCACCTCAGTTGCCAATTATCTCTGGTCCTGTGTGGGAGACAACCAGTCAGTGTGTCCCTCCCACATTGATGTTTCTCACTCTCTTCCTCTCTCCCTCTCATCCTCTCTCCCTCTCCCTCCCACTCTTATCTGAACAAAAATGGAAAGATATCCTTGGGTGAGAATTAAAAAAAAAAAAAAAAAGGTTTTCTAAGCATGCAAATGAAATAGAGAGTTCATATGAGGTGATTTAGTCACGTCTTGGGCTCTGCGGACCTTAGCAACAACCACTACATTTATAGAAATTGGCCAGACAGGCAAAATGGTTTGAGGAATGAATGTAAGGAAGTGAAGAATATGAATATAGACTACTCGAAGTTCAGCTGGGGAGGAATTGAGAGGGGAAGCTGGAGGTATATGTATAATTGAGGGAAGAATACTTGAATAAATTACCAAAAAAGTCATTTTAGTTATAAAGATTTTATGAAAATTCTTTTGTTCGTTCTAATTTCAATTCTGATGAAACAATAACATCCTCTGAAAATACTATGGTATTTAAAAAATACATTTAGTGGGGGAAAATGTTAGCTGGTATCCTAAGAAATTACATTTTTTTATAAAAATGTAAATTACATTATTATTTTTTATATAAAAATGTAAATCCTATCATTTGTGACACTACCTAGAAGTCATTTTTCTACATGTCTAACACCTAAGCTATCACAGCTGAAAAGAAATTTGTAAAAATCACAAAATAGTCTTTATAAGATATGTCAATGCTACTCTGATTTTAGATGTTCATTTATGTATAAAAACACTTTCTCCTATAAAATATAGCATATTTCCTCTATTAAGTCAGATTTAAATAAAATGGAAACCAAATCATTACCATTTGCATAGTAACTTTTTATTTGAATACACATGTCATGCTTTATCTTTGGCATTTTAATATATTCACATTTCACATAATCAAACTTCTGAGTAATTTCCATTTAGAATTTCCCCATTAAGGTCATAATTCACTTATTGAATTAACTAAGCTAGAAATCATAAGAGTCATCTTTTCTCTCTCTCTCTCTCTCTCTCTCTCTCTCTCTCTCTCTCTCTCTCTCCTCAAATCCCAAGCTAATTGTTTTTTTGGCAAGACCATTAGATCTTTCTTCAATATCTTCTGGCCTTGACTTCTTATTTCCATCTCATTATCACCTCCTTTAACATCTCGCCCTCTTACTCTTAGTTTTTCTCTTCAGTATGTTCTCCATATAGTTGTCAGAATTATTTTTCTAACATACAAATCTGTTCAATTTCCTTGATTAAAAAAAAAAAAAGATTAATCAGTGCCATAGGAATAGTTTAAATTCATTAAGGCCACATAGAGGTTCTTTAATATCTGGCCCAAATTTACCTATGTCACCTCACCTTCTATTCCACCCCCTTCTATATTCAAGCCTCTCTACAACACTTGCAATTCCCTGAGTTCCTTATGGTTTACAAGTACACATTTGTTTGGTTAAAATTCTCTTCACTGCCTTTTCCAATTGGTGTACTTCTCTTCCCCCCAACTCATATTCTACCCTCCCCATCCCCCTATTGCTGCCCTCCTCTTCCTTATTTAGTTTTAAATTTTACTATAAAATAGGTAATGTATTTACATGGCTCAAAAACCAAAAGCCTATCAACATGTAGTATGCAAAGTTGCCCTTCCATTCTGTTAACATCCCGCTTCATTCTGAGCTAACTTGCTCCACCCCTACTCAGCCAGGGTTAATACTTCACTGGCTAGATCATGAGGGAGTCAGGAATCCTGGGATGAGAGCAAAGGTAGAGAAAATTCAGAGAACCGGGGAGTGGCCACTTACCAACCAGGACAGAGAATGTCTGTAACTAGTACAACCTGATTAGTGTACGTGGCTGACTATGTTACTTTGTAAGAAGCCACTTACGTTAGTTTCTTATATATTTTTCTAGTGTTACATGATTTAAATATAAACACTAAAGATAATTCATTGTGTACTCCCTTTGACACCTTTTTGTTTTTGCTATTTTTTTTTTGTGATAAGATACATATAACATAAAACTTGCTATTGTAACCACTGTTAATTGTACTATTCAGTAGCACTAATTACATTTACAATGTTGTACAACTGTTACTATTTCCAAAACTTTTTGTTATCCCAAAGAGAAACTCTTGATTCATTAAGAAATAATGCCCCATTCTCACCTTCCCACACCCTCATAACCTCAAATGTACTTTTTGTCTCTATTTATTTGCTTATTCTAGATATTTCATACAAATGGAATCATAATGTTTGTTCTTTGTGTCTGGCTTATTTCAACATTTATTCATGTTGTAGCATGTATGAGAACATCATTCCTTTTTGTGGCTGAATAATGTACCTTTGCATGTATTCACATCAGATGTATATTGGTACATTGATTTGTGATGGGCACTTTGGTTGTTTTCACTTTTTGGTTATTGTGAACAATGCTGTTATGAACATTGGCAGATAAGTATCTGAGCACCTGTTTTCAGTTCTTTGCGATCTCTACCTAGGAGTAGAATTGCTGGATCACACGGTAATTTTATGTTTAAGTTTTTGAGGAATATTAAAGTTCTTTCTACAGCAGCTATAGCATTTTACATGTGCAAGGGTTTCAGTTTCCTCTCGCCCTTGCCAAGTTTCCATTTTTGAAAAATATAACCATCCCAGTAGGTGTGAAGTCATATCTCATTTTGCTTTTTATTTACATTTTCCAAATGAGGAATGATGTTGATCTTTTTATTTGTGTATTGGCCATTTGTTTATCTTCTTTGGAGAGATGTCTGTTTAAGTCTTTTGCCCATTTTAAAATTTGGGTTGTTTGTCTATTTTGTTGAGTTGTAGGAGTTCTTTCTATATTCTGAATATGAAACTCTTATCAGACATAGAAGTTGCAAATATTGTCTCCCATTCTGTAGGTTGTCTTTCAGTTTCTTGATAGTGTCCCTTAGTGCACAGATCTTAATTTTAATGAAGTCAAAATTGTCTATTCTTTTGTTGTATATGCTTTTGTTGTCACATTTAAGAACTATTGCCAAATCCAACGTGGATTTGTCCCTATGTTTCCTTCTAAGGGTTCTATAGTCTTAGGTCTTATGTTCAGATCTTCAGTCCATTATGAGTTAATATTTTGTTTATGGTGTGAGATAAGATTTCATACTTTTGCATGTACAGACCCAGTTTTTCTAGCACCATTTTTTAAGACACTGTACTTTACCTATTGAATAGTCTTGGCCTCCTTGTCGAAAATCAGTTCACAATAAATATGAGGGTTTATTCTATATTCCTATCCTATGCTAGAACCACACTGTTTTGATTACTGTACTTTGTGGTTAGTTTTGAAATCAGTAAGTTAAATATTCATCTCTGTTCCTTTGATTTTCAAGATTGTTTTGACTATTCAGGATCCCTTGATATTTTTATGTGAATATTAGGATAGATTTTTCTATTTCTGGAAAAATGTCATTGTAATTTTAATAGCAATCACATTTAATATATATATTGCTTTGCTTAGTAATGTTATCTTAACAATATTAAGTCTTCCATTCTATGAACAAGAATATCTTTTCAATTATTTAGGTGTTCTTTAATTTCTTTCAACAATATTTTGTATTTATCGGTGCATAAGTTGTGTGCCTCCTTTGTCGAATTTACTTCTAATTTATTACATTGTTTGCTATTGTAAATTGATTTCCACCCCCAATCCAATTTCTTTTTTGATGTTCATTGCTTAGTACATAGAAGTACAACTGAGTTTTGCATTTTAATTTTGTATCCAGAAACTTTGCTGAATTTATTTGCTCTAATAGTTTTTTATTTTATTTTAATTTTAATTAATTTATTTTTGTTACAGATGTTTCTCCTTTTTTTCCCCATTGACACTGTCCTCCCCATCTCCCCCCCCCACCCTGTACTCGGCTTTGTTGATCGTGTCCATCAGTTATGCGTACATGCATATAAGTTCTGTGGTTTATCTCTTCCCTCCCTTCACCACTCCCTCTTCTGAGGGTTGTCAGTTTGTACCCTACTTCATGTTTCTGGGTCTACCCTATTCCTCAGACTGTCATGTTCATTATATTCCACAGATAAGTGAGATCATGTGATATTTGTCTTTCTCTGCTTGGCTTGTTTTGCTTAGGATAATACCTTCCAGGTCCCCCCATGTCGTCTCAAAGTATAAGAGATCTTTCTTACAGCTGCATAGTA